AACTAGTAGAGTTTTTCTCAGTATTTTTACGTGAATAACCCGCGATTTATAACTAATTTAGTATGTCTCACGATAGTTATTATAATTTCGTTTTTGTTCAGTAATTGATGAAATATGAGTTTATTAATCATGATATTGATCAAACAAATGTAAGAACATCAAAAGCGTGTTTAGTTGTACACGCTGACGCAATAATACTTGATTATCTTGATGTCCGATAGCTTTCCAGGTAGTAAATCATTCAAAAACTGTAAAGCCCCGTAGTGCAGCTTAAAAATTATACTTACGTTATACAAATATAGACCTTATCTTCATTGGTGACCAATGATTTTCCCTTATTACAGACCTCCACTTATGGCTCAACGTTATCTAAAACTAAGTTGATTGATTGAGCTTTTATAATTGGATGTATGGTACATCTTATCAGAGACAAAGTGAAGTAATATATTAAGAGCGTATGCGCACTTTGACATAATGAAGGCTATTGCAATAAAACGATAGGGGGCGCTGGAGGATAAAAATACTATAGTATAGACCAATAGCCTATTTGATCAATCTCATTTAGTTAATATGTATTATCAATTTTACACTGACATACCCGTTACTCGACACCAGCGCCACCTACAGATCGCAAAAACGATAGCCTGTACTAAAAATGTGAGCATTTCAACCTCTAAGATCTAACCAGAGGTACAAAGCAACGATGAAATGTCATCGGATAAGTTTTAACAATTTTTCTACTTAAAGAGAAAACCTTACACTATTTAAGGAAGTTCGTGGAAGTCAAAGTTTGTGTATAGTTGTTCTACGCGTCTGTATACTTCGTCGCAAGAACTCAGTGTTTGGGGCAACACTGCTAGCGCTGCTGTCAAACTTTCGTCCGTACCGAAGATCTGGAATTAATAAAAATTATATAAATAAAAGTAAATGTATTTTTAACACACGTCATTTATTTCCCTAATATCTAAATACTCTAATACCTTAATTTTAAGTCGCGGTCAATATGGTAGTTCACTAAATTTTATTTTAATCTCCGTCTGGTACATTAATTTAAAATTTTAGACAGGTATTTTTTCCTTTCTGACTAAATTAAACTGTCAACAACAACACCAAGTGGTCACCGGTGACCGCAACCTATTGTTCTATAATTGTGTCTACAAAACCGGTACTCGACGAGTTAAATACTTTCGAAGATATATTAATATTAACTCGTCGAGTACCGTCATTATAGACACAATTATAGAACAATAGGTTGCGGTCACCGGTGACCGCTTGGTGTTTGACAGTTTAATTTGAAATATCGTGTGACGTCACAGCGTGTCACATTTTGTAGCACGTTATGACGTAACGACCTCCCACTCCTAAACTTTGTGCCATTTTATCTAAGTATTGCAACTTAACACGAGAAAATAAAAAAATGCCCTGTCTAATATTCTTTTATTATCCAACTGACGGACTAATTAGATTTTTAATTTTGATACCCTGGATTTTTTTTTAAGGGGGGAAAATCATCGAATGACTGCTCCCGCCTGGGTGAGGCGGAAGCAGAGGCGTGCACAGAGATTTGAAGTAGGGTAGGCAGAAGGTATCACATGATTAAAAAAAATTTCGTCTACATTAATCTCGGAAAATAAAACTCCCGAAACATCATAATTTTGAGTAGGTAATTAGGTTTAGTAAGTATTTTTATTAATTTGTATAAACAAATTATGTACATAATTATTTTCAAACTATCCGTGTATAAAGTTGATCAACATAGATACCTAGGTAGGTATCTATTTTACAAATCTATTAACTAGGTACCTACTTTGGAGCGGCGAAGTACAAATGGTTACACATCAAGCTATGCAAAACCAGTATAAACTGACCGTTAAATGCATAGAAAAATCGTACAAAGCGAGATCAAGATGACTGGATTATAAAAACAATAATGAAATTGGTACACAACCAGTGCTAACAAACTATACCTATAATCTCAAATCGTAGTTTATTAAAAGAAATAATAAAATTATTACCTTTTTTGAGTTACGCCTAGCCCGGACATACGACACACGCAAAATCGCCTTTGGAAATATTTTCGTTTCTTCTTCGAACGACAATAAGGACAACGCACTCATATTGAATTTATTGAACAACACAAATCACCAGCACAGAGCTCACAGCTATAATTTTACATAATTTTCGGTAAATTAACAGTTCATTTAAATTATAATTCATTACATTACAATTTATTCACTTGCACATAAAAACATAACCAAAACAAAATGGCCAAAAAAAACGTAAACAATAAGTTGACCAAAATTAATATATCTATTTTCAATCAACAAACGCTACGTTTTGTTGACTTCTTAAATTAGTCGGATAACGAAGAAGCAGTGCTTTTGCAGTTGTATAGAAATTACCAACCTAACAAAAAAAAAATCCAACATCAGCACGAGAAAACAAGCAAATTGTACCGGCTACGCATTAGTACATGCTTCCGCCACCATCACACAATAGCGAAGTGGCGGCGCCACTGGCGCAATGCTTCAATATCGAAGAAAGTAGAAAGTGGTCGTAGTATTATAATATTTTTTCGATAGATGGCGTTAGTTACCAGTTTTTCAAATGAAGTATCAATAAAATTACGAAATCTCTATAAGATGTTAGTGAATATTCATGTCGTGTTTATGAGTGACACTATGTATTTGACTATGTAGGTTTACCATGATTTTGTAGGGTATGCAGTGCTTATTTGCATGTATGGTGTGCACGCCACTGGGCGGAAGGGAGTGTCAGACTCTTACTGACTAAAAACCACCCCGTTCCTTCTCCTGCACGTCGAGCCGTAGCCCCGGTTACCCGTTAGGTTCTGGATTCTGGGTTCTGGATTTCTGGTTACAACCCAATTATAGTTCTTCCACTACAAATTCATTGTAAAATGACAGAGATGGCACGATATTTAAGTACAAATTAAAGTTGATTAGCCTTTAAGTATTCCGACATAAAGGTTTGATAGAAATACCTATAGTAATTAAATTTAACAATTACTTTTTGTAGGTTACGAACCCCATGTAATAGGCGATAACTACAAATTGACCTCAAAGTCATTTTTTACGTGTTAGTATATTGTAAGTACAACTTTATAACGCAATACCCTTAATATTTTGAGAAACCACAATCGTGGGGCAATTTGTTATTATAGCACCGCGTTAATTCGATAAGCAATTAACGTCTTTATTTCGAACTCATAAGTATTATTATCGTAAATGAAGTTCCTCTGTAGCAACTTACTTACGTTGGTTTTGACGCACGGTAGGAACAATGTAAGGCGAGTCTTATTGTAACAAATCAAAGAAAATGAATACAAAAGATTCAATAGAGGACGGTACGGATGTCGCATCACAATGCTACAAGTATGATAAAGTCGAATTTGTACGAAAATATCGTTATTGACAGAGTTTTTGGCAGAATAAGTGTTATCTTGTCATGTTAGTTGGCGCTAGTGATGTCCTATCACTATGGACTCCAAAAGCTAAGTGATTTATGACTAACTAACAAATATCAGAGATAGTTACTAGTATTTTAATTATCTAAATTACTTCAAACAGTCGGTAAGTTTGTATAGTAAGGAAAGGGCCCAAAGAGCACTCCTACTAGAGCTCAAAAGTCTTTCTATTGGTCTTATTGGATTATTTGAGTTTTAGTATCAAAACCGGCTCAAATGAAATATATAGTACATACAAGGAAAATATAACAAATCTTGAATTCAAATATCTTTATTGCTGAGCATTCCGAGGCCTTAGTACGAGTTTGTATTACGTTTAAAGCATTCGAAACGAGTATGCGTTCGGCGCACTGATTGGCCGGCGTCAATGAACCAACCAATCGGAGCGCCGAACGCGTACTCGTTACGATTGGCGCAGATGACCTCATATGCACTGCAAGATGTTAGATGAATGCGCAGTTTATCACGTTCCACCAATCAGGGCACGCAATTATTTTACATTAACGAGTTCTAGATTAAAGCTGACTTCACTTAAATCGCTTTTTATTTATTTATTTTTATTATACACCATACAAAGAAGTGTGGGAGAGCCATGCTTCGGCACGAATGGGCCGGCTCGACCGGAGTGATACCACGGCCTCACAGAAAACCGACGTGAAGCAACGCTTGCGTTGTGTTTCGTCGTGTGAGTGAGGTTACCGGAGGCCCAATTACCTTCCCCTTCCCCAATCTCCCCAATCCCTGAATCCCCAACGATCCTCAAACTCCTAATCCCCAAAAAGCCGGTGACGCACTTGTAACGCCTCTGGTGTTCTAGGTGTCCATGGGCGACGCCGATTGCTTACCATCAGGTGATCCGTCTGCTCGTTTACCGGCTTATATATTCCATAAAAAAAAAAAAAAATTATTGTAGAGCAGATAGCATTAGATAGCGACTCTAGTAGAACTATTCAATTAAGGTTTCGTGAAAAGAGTTTTATAATTATATTTTATTGTTACACTAGCTTTTACCCGCGGCTTCGCTCGCGTCACAAAAGGATAAAAAGCCAATGTGACATATACCAATACACACAGCGCCATCTATATCAATACTTTTGTTTTCCCTCGGGAATACCAAATTTTTCCGGGATAAAAAGTACCCTATTATTTAATCCGGACTTCTAACTACACATCTGCAAAAATTCAAAGCAATCGATTTAGTAGTTACGGCGTGAAAGCGGAACAAACAAACAAACCCACTTTCCGATTTATAATATTAGTAAGGATAGTTACTCGATGTCCAATGTTCTATACTGAACGTAGGCCTTCTTTATGATTTTTAGATTTAATTATAACTTTCGTTAGACATAATGTATTAATTATTATGTTTTCTGCTTACCCACTTACTCAGGTAACTGTTTGGCTCGCAACGCAGACTTGAGTAGTCAGTAGCAGCACTACAATTGCCGCATCGTGTATGTCGCGGAATGCTGCTCATGAATATGAGCCTCTAGTATGAATTGAAACTAGTTGTATTCTCGTCAAACAGTTACGTAAGTAAGTCGATAACATAATGATTAACCTCCAAATAGGTCGAATAGAAGTAACCTGCATTCAGCGGTTTTATTTAGTCATCTGTTCCAAAAATGCTTTAACGTTTGATTCAAAAATATAGTGTGAATATACCTCTACATAGTGTCTTAATTATTCAACATTCATTTAAAAAGTGAAGACTCTCAACTACTTAATTAATTGATGGAACAAGTTTCGGAAAAATAAACGTTCCCTGTTCGTATTTTGGATGATTGCCAAACAAGATATTGTTGAACCAGCACTCTATTCGTTGTATAAACATTTTATATATTATAAGTAATATTCTTTCATATATCTGGAAGATATTATTACCATTGCTTGTGTGAAAATCTTTATAAATAGGCTATTGGTTCCAATGTCTGTTTCATCGATAGAAGTTTTTATTTTTCTGAAAAGTAAATAAGGAGTATAAAATTATATACGAGTGCGCATATCAAAGTATTAATCCTGCTTTTTAGATAGATTATAATTTATAAGTATCATGAAATGGGACAAAGTTTTATCGTCATTTCTCTAAAGACACATGATCAAACACAATGCTTTTAACCTCTTGTATGTCGGTATTTAAGACACAATAGAAAACGTATTGTGTCTAGCGCAGATCTACACTCCGACAAAACAGAAGTTAATAACAATTTTGAAAATATTTCAGTTGACCTGCGAATCGACCTTGGCTATTGAGTCCTGTTATGCATTTGTACTCCATATTTTTATAAATAAGAAAAACTCATTAACCGAACCTAGCGTGATTATTAACGATTTTGCCATACAGACAGCCATTTACTATTTCATGCCATGTCCGGTGAGGACCTGCGTCAGGCGGTAGGTGAGGACGCCGTAGCGTCTCTCAAGCCACTCCTCAAAGAGGGGACTTACCGCTGCGATGGCAGCGAGCCCAGCCCTCGGTTGCGACAGTCGTTGCTGCCATTCCGCCATGAGATCGCGCCGGAGCTCATCCCGCCACGCACTTATCTGGCGCGGCAGCGGAGTTTCGCCCCGGCGACGTGCCTCCGCGCGCATGCTGTGCATGCGCGCGAGCACCTTCGCCTCCAGATCCCACGGCGGTAATCCGGCACTGTACCAGGTCCTTGAGTGTACATATTAGGTCAAAAATCCCAACAATTCAGTTTACAATGCTAATAACCTTGAGTTCTATACCGAGACAGGCAGACTTCACTAACGAGGCAATCTTTATATATATGTATAACATCAAACTGCTTTCCTCAACGGATTTTGTACTTAATATACTTACAAATTAATATATGACTAAAGCATAAGAAATCTTACCTTTTTCAACAGATCCGGTCTCGAAGGTAATGCGTGCATGGCTAAAGTGGCTGCCTTCCTAATGTACCAGGGATGGAAGTTGGCCAGAGTCTCGTTGTAGGAGCCCTGGCACGTGGTACACGTGTTCATGTTCTCGTCCGCCTCACTCAGACGCTTCAGGAACAAACGTATGAAGTCTGTAAACAATGCGTTCGTTTTTAATGCGTTGTTGTACCTACAATAGTGTAAACGTTAAAGTTAATGTCATCGGCGTTTTGAAGAAGTTACGCTTTATATTTTAAGTGACATATTAGTCAGAGTCACCTACTACATAGGTACTTGGTGCGTCGTTTCCAAGAAGAAAAATACATTGCAAAGTGTATCGTCCTTCAATCATTTTTTGTGCCATTTAATTTAAAATTCAAAACAATAATTGACTGATGACGTCAAAAACACACAATTTGTAGTAACATTTTCTAACAGTTTTCTACTATCTAGTTGTTTTTGTTATCTATCGAAACGCCTATTTCTTTTATCAGAACACTAGGAAATATCCACGGCTCAGTCATCACGGCGATAAAACGCGTTGAATGTGTCTTTATTGAATTGAATCAAACATCATTGACTCGGAATGGTAATGAATGTAGCAGACATACATTGTCTTTCGGTTCGTTTAATTTGAAATAGCTTTGACTTTGACAATATTGAGATGAGGCTATAGAAAATATGTACAAACTGTGTGAGGAATGACATGGAAGACAAGGATGTTTGTGATGTAATGATGTTTGATAGAGTAGAAAAAGATCTATACAATCGACCGCAAATTAAACTTAGGACAAGTTCAAGGAGAAATAGAACCTTTTTTTTTAAATACTTTGCCCACATTAGGATTTTCTCCTGTGTCGTGGGTGCGTTTACAAACATACAAGTTCACATACACTTGACACCCAGACCCGAAACAACAATTTCTGGATCACACAAAGTGTTGTTCCGTGCGGGAATCGAACCCGCGACACGTTGCACGGCAGCCGGTTGTCCAGCCACCGCACCAACCGGGCAGTCATAACATTTAGTATTTATGACCAACTCATCATCAACAGCCTATAAATGCCCACTGCTGAGCAAAGCCTCTTCTCACACGGAGAAGGTTTGAGCATTAATCATCACGCTTGCTCAATGCGAGTTGGCGATTTCAAATTTATAATTGGAAATTATAAGCCCCGTTTTCTTCACGATGTTTTCCTTCACCGTTTGTCAGTGGTCTCTAAGATTCTATCTTAGAAAGTACATAAACTCGGAAAAAGTCAAATTGATACTTGCTGTCGGTAGTGCCGTTATAACCAAGTAGCTTCAAGAAACCATTTTTAATGTAGCACAAAGATTCGATATTGTTGTTCATATGGAGCGAGTTACAGACTATTGTTACACACACATTTACGACATTAAGTTTCCCAATAACAATAAGTACTTATACACGGTCATCTGTGCGAAAGTAGAGTACCTAGGTACTTGGTTATCGTTGCTCTCAATATTACGACCTATTTCGATGGTACGGCTATCGATGCAGAGTAAATAAACAGAGCATTGTGATGTACAAGCGGTGCGCAAACACAGGTGTACTGCGTATGACGTTAGTCTCCGAGAAATGGGAGTGGAACTGCCGTCTGATATTTATGGAAACTTGCTTTTTATACTATCCATACTAACGAAGTTATAACCTATTGTGTGTTTTATATCTAATCATTTTGGACTCGAGTACGTCTTAAAATTGCGACTGATTACAGAGAGACGGGTAGCAGTGTCCTTTAAACTAAAGCCACTTCGCATAGCTTTGGTATTGTAGTCTTTTATTTAGGTAGTGGATGTCTTCCTGCTGAAGAGGACCTTTACAGGGCACTAAGCCTAATTGATAATTTAGAGATAACACAACGCTTGCGTTGTGTTTCGTAGTGTGAGTGAGGATACCGTAGGCTCAGTTCAGTTACCTTTTCCCCAATCTCCTCAATCCCTGAACAATCCTCAAATTCCTAATTCCCAAAAGGCCGGTAAAGCACTTGTAACGCCTCTGGTGTTCCAGGTATCCATGGGCGACGTCAATTGCTTACCATCAGGTGATCCGTCTGCTCGTTTATTGGCTTATCTCATAAAAAAACAAAATGTCCATCATGTGTGAGTACTAAATGGCGACATGCCAATTAGAAAGTTAAATATCTACAAACTACATAATCTTACATACTTTATTACTAAAGCAATAAAGTTGTAACTTGTAATACTAATTCACTTCTATTTGCGAAACGAAGCAACAGTTAGATAAAATAGATAAACGAATCAATTGACATTCACTCTACTATCACGAGTGCCATCAGGTAATCTCTACGAAACTATTATAGTGCCCCCTATATTGATTCGATAGCGTTGTTATCCGCAACAGTTGTGTAGTAGAGGAGCTGACTAAGGTAGCGTTTTGCGGTTAGAAACTGCAGTTAAAAAGGCTTTTTTTTGAGCGGGGAAAACCTTTTAATTATACCACCTCTTCTACCGCCTTGGATGAGGCGAGAATGTCAGACTCTTACTGAGTAAAAACCACCCCCATCTTATCTCCTGCTCTTCGAACCGGAGCTTTGATAATCCGTTAAATTTTTGTAATTTCCCAATTTTTGTCAAATGTGTAGTCCTTTGCGGACAAATTATTAATAAGTTGCCAGGTCTTAGTTTAGAATCTGAGGACTAAGATCGATTTATAACAATAGTTTCAAAACTATTGTAGTTTTTGTTAAAAATGGAGATGAATCCAGTCCAGAGGTTTCGGTACCTAATTCATTGCGACCGTTCGGAACTATGACACTCGCAGAATGTATTCTATCTGAGGACTTAAACAAACTCGTACTAACTTTAAAAGTAATCGAAACGAGACCGCGTCCTGTGCTCCGATTTGTTGGTTCATTGGAGCCGGTCAATCAGAGCGTTGGCCGAACGCCTACACGTTACGGTTTCTTTAGTTTAAATGTAAATCAAACTCGTACTAAGACATCTGGTCTGCCGTCATCACACGGCTTCCGAGTTAGAACAGGGTCGACAAGTTTATGAACAGTTCTAAGCTAAACATATACCTAAGGGTGATATCGAAGCTCTATAAATCGTCATTGTTGATTGATTCAATTCAAGAGCCCGCGATAAAATCGTGTCGATTGGAAGTAACGCCTCTACGAAGGACATATTACTTTCATTCAAAGTCAAGTTAAATGTCCAACATAAGATATGAATTTATTGCCGATACTTTTATCAAATTATTTAATAGACTAATAAAATTGGTGCGATAATTTTAGTTTATCGCTGATTAAAATGCTTTGCGTGAACAATAACAATATGAATTAATTTATTACGTCAGTTTGATGACGGCTAAGCTCGAACCACCATTTTATCTAATTAAATTAAATCCGGAACATGAGACCACTTTACTTAATTAATAAAATTGTGTTTTGCTATCAAATTACTTTGAGTATTTGTGGTTATTTGTTTGCGGCAAAATATTTTGTTAAATCTAATCGAGGCTGGATGACGCTCATCAAGTCTTCCTCAATCAAACACATACGATTGACTATTGAGTACAATTTAACTGTTTTATATTAATTACCAAATAGGTAACTTATCTATGTATTTCTGATATATGTAATTGGCATTCCATAGTCATTCTATCTACCCGCATGGGAGACAGGCGTGAGGATATGTATGTATGTATTTATTTTATTTTAATAGGCATTCTTGTAACAAGCTGTGCGTCCGGCTAAATCTCGGGAACGGTTGAACCGATTTGGATCATTTTGACATGAAATATCATCCCCTAAATTTGTTCATACAAAAGTAGTCTCTAAACATTGGAAATACGGTCTATAATGTAGTTAGTGATGAGCGGTCACCGGTGACCGCTTGTTTGTGAATGGGAATGTTTGTTTGAGACGATTTAAAACTGATCATGAAAAAATAATACGTGAGCGCGAAAATTATTGTAAAAATTGATATCCAGACTCTTAGCGAAAAATAAAATATTAAAATAAGTAATTATTATTATCAGTTTCCGGAGTAGTTAGCAACGTCATGTACCCTAATGGCACTCCAATTAATACATAGATTAGATTAATATGATTGAAATAACAATCGAAGGTATCACAGGTATATGGACAAAAAGTTCGCAGGGGGAAATCCATTCATTTTTTTCTTCTTTGTTACACAATTATACAATGTCATTTTTAACCAACTTCAAACAAAGAAGGTTCTCATGTTGACCTGTATGTGTCTGTGTATGTATGTGTGTTTGTGCGCGATTAACGAATCGATTTTAATGCGGTTTCATAAAGCGATTATCTAGCGATTGGCTGAATAAATTTTGATGCGGTTTCATAAATGTTTTTGTCACACTTAGAGGTTTTAGTATATCAATTAACCGACTTCAAAACAAGAGGACTTTGAAGTCGGTTGTTTAAAACGTAGTTTATGAAATAATTATTTCCGATAAAGTACAATTATAGCACCAAACTTAGTAAAATTGTGCTATTGGGTTGTTGAAATAATGTAGGCAATTAAATATTTGTTATTTATGATCTTGACCACAAATAATTATTACTTAAGTTTTTCACTCAAATATATATTAATTGTGGTTTTAACAGTAATGTCTAAATAAATCAAATGATTGGCTATAAAAGTAAATTATGTCAGAATTGGGCCATCACTAATAATATTTATATGAAATAGTATGCAGCAAGTGTAAATTAACTGTGGTTTTCTGTCCATCTGCGGTATTGCTCGGGTAGAGCAGGCCCATTTGTACAAAACATCTCTGTTCCAAGTGAAGAAAGATTTCAACATAAAAGTATAAAACAAGCATACCTAATCCTCGATGCAATCGCAGCATAGTCCTTGAGCCAGAGACAAATCCGTTCTTGTCATACAAGTTTGTCTCTTTTTCATACTTCATCATCTTCTTAAATGAGTCATAGTGTACTGCATCCTCTCCTTCTCTATGCTTCTCCATTACTTTGATTTTACTCTTCACATCACTACTTACAAATGAGAATACTGATCCTATTAAGTTGAGAAACCTGAAAAAGGACAATTTTATTCATATCGTAAATTCTGTTGCCATTAAAGGAAGAAAAAGTTATTAATTTTCAATTATTTTTTTTAAACGTTGCCCCACACTAGGATTATCTCCTGTGTCGTGAGTGCGTTTACAAACATACAAGTTCACATACACATGACACCCAGACCCGAAACAACAATTTATGGATCGCACAAAGTGTTGTTCCGTGCGGGAATCGAACCCGCGACACGTTGCAACGTGTCGCGGGTTCGATTCCCGCTGCAACCGCCCCAGCCACCGCACCAACCGTGCAGTCAAGTAATTACTTATCATTAATTGGTTTCTTGGTAAAATAAATGGTTAAAATTGTATTTAATTTTCATTTATAAGTTGTCAAGGTGTGCTATTAGTAATAATGGAGATTATTCTTTAAATCTATAAACCTGCTTATTCGTAATCAGATTTGCATAATTCGGTATATTCCTTTTGACCCGTTGAAATTCATCCCCTAAATTAGTTCATACAAAAGTAGTCTCTAAACATTGGAAATAAAGTCTATAATGTAGTTAGTGGAGAGCGGTTACCGGTGACCGCTTGGAGATGTATGGGTTAAGATGCAGGTAGAGGTCAGGAATCATACTTGTCATCACTCAATCATTATCACCAAGCAAGCAGTTTTGACCATAACCTAAAGTCTCAAATGAGTAGGTTGCTTATGGGCAGGCATGCTCCATTGTAGGCTGCGTCGTGGCTTACTACCAGCAGCTGTAGCCAAATGCTATTTAGCGCTTGTCTACATGTAGAATAGAAAACCAAATTATATGGAATTGACATAAATTTTGACACTTGTCAGTGTCATCCCCATACATTTTGATTTCTACTCTCTCTGTAGACAAGCGCTAAAGCGACATTTGGCTAAAGCACAGGTGGCCAAATGCATACCAATTATGAATAAAAAAAATAACCATAATTAAAATTAGACATGATTGGTGGTTTAAACTGTCAAACACCAAGCGGTCACCGGTGACCGCAACCTATTGTTCTATAATTGTGTCTACAAAACCGGTACTCGACGAGTTAATGATCATATCATTGAGATGTAGGGCAAATACTTGATATGATAGATATATAACTAATAAATGCCTTGTGGCAGAGTGGTCGCAAGTGCGACTGCCAGGCAAGGGGTCTCCGGTTCGATTCCTGGGTTGGGGAAAGTATTAATGGATTTTTAAATAATTCTTAGTAGTAGCACAGAGTCTGGAATTATGCCCAGAATATGGCGATAGACTCACTCCCTATTGCATAGGACTCATAACATATTGTGAAAGTGTGTGTTACATTGTACTGCCTACCCTTATGGAGACAAAAGGCATGATGTTACATATGTGTGTTATTAACTAATAACCACAAATATTGCTATTTCTATATTAATTAACTCTTTGATAGTGCATGCACTTGAAACTTCAATAGATAAATTTTAATTAAACACGAATCACCTAGTTATTTATTCTTAGTTACTATTTAGAGTTAGATGTGTTAGGTTCCTTCCTTATAATTAGTGTTAGTACTGATATGAAAATAACAATTCAAGGTTTTACTCTGATAATAGTTAGTTAGCAGTTATTCTAATTAATTTCTCCATTAGATAGTACTTAGCTAGAGTTGTTACATCAAAAATGAAGATTTTTGTTAGCCTTTGGGCATGTCAGATTTTATTCATGTCTTGGAATTGTAAAATTTTAATGAAGTGATTAAAAATATAATCAAATTGTTACTGAGTTACTGATATACTTCTTATAAATAGATACAAAGAGAATTGTTATGAATCTTCAGTTAGTTAGCACTATGTTCAGAATCTTATGTCATAACTCTCACATTTTAATTAATAAGCTATTAAAATACATAACTGTTCTATTTATTAAAAAATAAATAATAAAACTCGAATAAGAAAATATGAGTTGTAACAGAAAAAAAAATATTTTAAACTCTTTGTTCTTGCCTGTACAAAGCTTAATTTAAAAAAAATAATTCCTAAACACAACATTGAAACATAAAATCGAGAACCCGCGCGAAAGGACCTAATTAGAAAGTGCATTCATTCTCCAACTACCAAAATATATGACTTTGAGTCAAAGACGAGCTGTAGTTCTTATTTCAAAATCCACATAAAATGCACTTAGTAATCCATTGTTAGTGCAGTTATTCATTAATAGACGTTCATAGTATAACTATTACCAATAAGAAAAACCTAATCATTTCTCGCCAATTTAAAGCACGCGACCTCGCCAATTTGCTGTACAATCTTGGGGCCTAAAAAGGTAACATTGGGTGAATCATTTCTAATATGACAGATTTGATGAATTGTTAGAGAATCACCTAAATCACCATAAAATGGTAACAATAAAATATGAAACACCTTCAATTCATTTCATAACTGAATCATATTAGATGCCGATGTTGCTACATAAGAAATATATAGAGAAAAACCGAACCGTAACTTTACCGGTTTTGTTTATCTTGTGTTTTATTATAACTTAAATTAAAAATTTCGATCCTGAATGTTTTTTAATTATAATATTTTCTCATATCTATCAAGAAACTAGAAAATCCATTAAAATACAGTGTGAAAACTACATACAGTATTTGATTTTGTTTTTCTTATTTCCTTTTCGCTGGCAATGACTCGTGCTCATACGTCACGTCAGTCAGTCACTGTCAGAATAACAGTAAATTTAAACTTCATTTAAACAAACAAATTTGTAAAAAAATATTAAACTCTTTAACTTAGACATTATTTCATTGGGAAGTAAGTAACAGTAAATAGAGTTCGAGATGTGAATGGAATTCGAGAAGTAAATTGATACAGAAAAGGGCTCCTCCCTTACCAAGGCGAAGATTGAACGCTATGGATTTTATCTATTAAGAAATAATACACGTTAAAAGGTAAATATAATTATTTGTTACTAGCTTATTTGTGTACTTAATACTAGTCATTAATACCGAGCCAGACACTCAACAACGGCACTACGCCCAAAAACATTGTCGGCCTCGGAATACTGTGGAAAGGTGTATCGAAGTACTCAAATCTTGCTGGCGATGCTGAAGTATTGGTTCATCGCAAGATACACTATAGCAGGACAAGTGCATTTGCATGTATTTGTGTTAACTGAAACAATGACATGTTGTT